AGCTGGTTTATACAGGGTCACAAACCTCCTCTGGTGCTTGATTCATGTTATATTTTGACAAAAGCACAGCACAGATGTTTCATTTAGAGCACAGGGGGACTGTTTGAAAAGGTGGAAGAGGGGTAAAATATGTCCTCTTTAAAGTTTCTTGTCCCCTTCCCACGATAACTTAAACATACAGTTCTGTTAAGATATTCTATTCAAACCTTCATTGCAGTTTCACTCTTATGATAACTCTCACCATGATTGAGATTATTTATTGCTTTATTATCCTCAAGTATTGCTTAATCAATGTGAGTACACCATAAAAGGATCCCTCTTTACTGTACTACCTCGTATTTTGGAATGCAGTTATTGCAGGCAACTCAGCGTCGAGCCAGAAAACAATAAAAAAAATTGATTGTCCCATATTTCTCCTAATTACAACAGCTGTGATCAATTTCCTCGCTTGTTGTTGTGTCCAATTACTTCCTTGACCAAATCCCCACAGTCCTCTTGCAGTGGAGCTGCAGCTCAGCAAACGAGCCGCTGCCTAAGGTTGTCTGGAACATTTATCCACCATGTACACAGGTTCACTGCGATGTAAACATATTTGACACGGACTCATTAGCAACGTCTTATCCCACATTTATCCTCGTAGTATGACTTTTAGTTTGACTGATAATGAGGCTAAGCGTGCTGTCTTGCATGTTCCTGTGTTGTACTTTGAACTACAGTAAAAAAAAAAGCACTTCCAGCATGCAGGCTTCTCACTTGTTTCTCATACTTTACCTGTGAGTGCCTTAGAGCGTGCGCTGTGGTTTAATACTCTTTCTCTCACAGAAAAACATATTTATCATTCTCGAAACCATGCAGCGAATAATTGACCAATTATTCAGTAAAAGGAAGTGCAGATTCTGCATAATGTCAGCCTCCTAAAAATGAAGCAAATTGACGGTGCAGAAAAAGCGATCTGTTTGAAGGAGTGCGTGGCAGGCCTTTGTAACTTGTGATTTAGTATCCAGAGTAATTACCCAGGTGTTGTCTTCCGCGGTTAAGTTCAACACCACGGCCAAAAAAGTTACTTCCTGTGGTGCAACACGAAAGAAGACGGAAAGCGATTATGCGAGGCAGTGTGGTGAGCAGCGATGATGTATGATGCAAACAAATCTACCTCTGGCTCTCAGACAGCAGCACATGGGCGACTGCTATCCTGATGCGATTAATCTCCATAATCTTTTGCAAGATTCAAGAAGATTGCTAATACAGAAAAAAAGAGACAAACCTGTTTACACACAGGTGCTGTTTGCAATGTTGATTACTGCCGTTGATTTTACTTTGAAAAGTGTCATCAAAGTTTGCAGTGTGAGATGAATTAGTTATTTTCCTCACGATAAGCTAGACAGCTTCAATCTTGATGTGAGTCAGATTAATTAAGAATCATGAGAAATGCCTGATGGTGAGAAAGCATGCAGGGAGAAATGATGAAGATAATCCCTGCTCACACAGATACACACATATACTTACTATTAACACACACACACACACACACACACATCATTCTTCCCTAAAAGTGGTGGACAAAGAGATGTTTTCCAAGTCAATCTCCCGGGCTCATCCTTTGATGAAAGTCCGACCTTTTTCATTGATCTCTCTGTTATCTCAAATTGGTAGGACCTCTAGTCCAATAATGACTGACGGATGAAAAGCTCCTTTAAGTTTTCGTCTGCACACTTCCCCTATCACCAGAAAAATGTATAGACAGAGCAATATCATCTTGAAGTTGAAGTTGAACAACAAGCCTGTGTGTGTGTGTGTGTGTGTGTGTGTGTGTGTGTGTGTGTGTGTGTGTGTGTGTGTGTGTTTTCCTCCGGAGTCAGTACTACCTCTCATTAGGTCCATCATTATGCTAATAAATCCAATTATCTCTCAGCTGTTGCATGCACGCATCCATGGAAAATGAAATTTTACACTCCACTGCAACCCACGTGGAAGTTTTTATTGTTTTACAAAATTGAATCAAATTAGATTTGATTTGGGTTATTTTTATTTTTTTATTTTTTTTACACACTGATGAACAGAAGGAGAGCGTTCAATGTCAAGGTGAAAGTGGATCCAAAAGAAACCGCAGATATTACACACACAAAAGGCATGTTTGCAAGAAAATATTCAACCCCTTTTATTCGATAAACATGAGTCATCACTGTTGAAGCTGTTAAGTTTTAAAAAGTCAGAACATTTAAATATTCAAGATACCTCAAGAACATTTTGGCAGACAGTTTATTTCATAACAACCAATTCTGGCCTCATTTCTTGCTTCTAATATCTTAAAAAATATGATGTTTATCTGGACTTGTTAGTGAATGAAGCTTATAATAAATGTAAAGTAGACAAACACACTTGTTAAGATTCAAGATTTTTGCATTTTTAACATGTTTAGGTGTCCACTTTGTTTCATGGGAAGTCAGTTCAGACTTTGCCTGTTGGGCTCATCTGTTGGAAAACAAAAATGAACATGAAAGAGTTTATAGATTAATTTTCATACAGGAATTGGTCTCACAATGCAAAGCTAGTTCTGTAGGGACTGAGGCAAAACTTGATCAAGTCCGGGGTTGGTGGCTAGGATTTAAAAAAGCCTGTTCACTTCTAATCCCAGTTCAACCCGACAGAGCTGGAGCTGTTTTAATGGAGGGAAGAGGGACAAATTGCTGTGCCAAGACGTGCTGCATTTGCTGCCAAATGTGCATCTACTAAATGTAAAAAATAATTTAGATCCCTTTGTGGTGATTTGTTTCCACTCTCACAGAAAGGGTTTCATTCTTCTGATTTGCCTGCAATAAATCTGCTTTGATTTACAGTAAAAAAAACACAGGCTGGATGAAAACGTTCTTCTGGACTCATGTAGCTGCAGCACTTGTGTCTCTTTGTAGGGAGTATTTGCAAAAGCTTGTTCATCTAACAAACCCACAAAAAAGGCAACAGGCATCGGAGTGCGCGCCTGTGTATGAGAGGAATAACAATCAAGCTGTCATTACCTTGAGGCCAGTTGTACTGGTAATTGTGAGAGGATGACAACAGGTTGGCTGGCATTAGGGCTCATCTTCCTCTGGCTAGTTTAGCACCTGCCTGCTGGCCACTTGCCTAATTTTTGTCTGACAGGCTCAGCAGGAATGATTGATGCCCGGAGGCCTCTGATGCTGCGTGTGTGTGTGTATGTGTGTGTGTTAAAGTGCCAAACTGCTCTATCTGAACACCACTATTCATATTGAAAGTCATTTAAAGCCACACCTGTCATTGCACACACAAGTTCTCCTTTGTAGGCTTACCCCCGGACACACACACTCTGGAGATAAGCAGGTACTGTCTGCTGCTGATAATATTTTTGGAAATGTGAATAACTTCGGGAGGATTTTTCCGAGCCAATGTAGGTTACAAAAGATCTGCGGGTCCACTTTGTGTTTGGCTGATGCTGCACAATGCCCGTGGCCGACAATGAGTTTATTATAAGGGGAACGTCCTGCTGGCAGTGTCTCCTGGCTGTGTGGCTGACGGGAAGCTCCTTGTTAACATTGTTTAAGAAATACTGGCCAATTACCAGGGTGTTGTTTTGTTGTGAAAGACTTAATTCCCATGACCCCCCTTCCCCCGCCGATAGAGTCCAGTCAGACTTCACACATATCATAAGACCACCGCTCAAGCGTTCCTCTATTGTTCAGCGTCGATAATCTCCGTCTTTGCCTTGTGTATGACGACCTGAATGCAGTGTGGTATACTGAACCCCTTATCCTCTTTCTTATGCATCACACATATCCACACACACACACACACACACACACACACACGGGCTCCTTTAGCTCCAAAGAATTTTAAACCTCCCAATGTCCTGATACTATTGCATTTTTCATTGGTATTTTAAGCAAAGAGTTGTGAGGTCTTAGAAGTCAGCTGGCATTAATTCCTCTGAGGCGGAGAGATTCAACTTCTGCCTGGAAAGAGGCTTAAAAAGAAAGTTCTCCTGCTTTCCAAATGACTAAATTGCTCCTTTCTCACATAGATTTTCATATTCCTCAGTGGACAGGGGAAAAATAGATTATTGATTGTGAATGGAGTTTGCTCTGTTTAACGCCCCAGTAATTTCAAAATGTTAAATATCTTATTAAGGGTGTGTCTCCTTTTTTAGAATATAAAGATTTTTAAATAGTTTTGATTCAGCCGAGAAGTTTGATCAGTTGTTTCATTGTTTTCCACGGTTGAGGGCTCTGAAGTGTCAGGGGTGCAGGTGTATAAATAAAACATCAAGGAAGGAAGAAAACACAAGAAAACGGAGGTCATTAATTCTTCTTTGTGGAAAAAAACATGAAATTTAATGTATTTTTTTTCTTCTACCATGAGATCAAGATGGAGACATGAGTGACTGAATATCACACAAAAGACAGATTTTTTTGTATTCAATGGGACAAGAAGGCTTAAATTAATGGAAATATTCGTAATGTGCTGTACAGTCGGGTTGTTGTTCCAACACATTCTCATCCCAGGTTGTCGGATACAGACACTTTGTCACACTGCTTTGGCATCTCATTCTGACCACAGACTGTTTAAAACATTGACGGTGTCTCAGTGACATCACCCTTTGGTTTCTGAAGCGATCTTTTGAAGCCCATCAATGGCGGTGTGCCTTAATGAAAACTTGCTGTCTCTACCTAACTATCGGTCAACCTAATAACAGGTAAAGCGGTGCAGCCAAGGTGGACCTTGAGCCTCCTGATGAACAGATAAGTGAGGTTAATCACACCCTTATTTATGCGTAAATCTTATCCGTCATAAAATCAAAACGGATGAGCTATACATTTATTTTTAGACTATAATCATGCTTATTACTTCTGTAAAAATTGACATTTTTAAAACGGTTGCTAATGGGACTTGTGGGGCTTTTGCAGCCAGCCTCAAGTGAACACTTCAGGAACTGCAGTTTTTTGCACTTCAACACGGCTTGCTGCTTGATTTAGACTCACAAGGTTGAATCTTTTATGTGTCCTACAGATGTTGAGACTGCTTTGAAGTCATGTTCATTTGGTAAGGTTTACGCAGACAAAAAACTTCAGTTAACGATTATGGAAAACAGGGACGCTAATTAGCCTAGCGGTTGTGGCACACACCATGTAAAGAGGCTATACTCCTTGAACCGGGCAGCCTGGGTTTCACTGTGATCCTCGGTGCTTTTCCACATTTCATTCCCCCACAGTCTCATCCCAGATTCCTTCTTTATTCACTGTGTTTCTCTATAGGCATAAAAGCCAAGCCACAAATATAATCTTTAAAAACCATGTTTCAGGAAACATACAGGGGTAAGTTTAAAAAATAAAAATAAAAACTTTACTTTTGGCTAGGTTTAAGCACAAAAACATGACGAGGTTTCAGAAAAGTTTTTGGGGAAATTTAGTATTTAAAAGAATGTATGCTACTTTTAGTGAGGTGTAGGCACTAAATATCAAATGGTTTTGTGCTGTGAACCTGACATTGGAATACATCATGGGATAGTTTCAGTCATTAATGCATAGTTTATTTTTGGTTTCAAACCCCCGTCCCAGTGGGTCCTAAAGTCCTCTCTCTGTTTGGGCCATCCATCCAATACAACAGTCAACCTAATTGGATCCTCCCCACTGTTACACTAAGTCACAAAACACAGGTTTCTCTTGTCATCTAATTTTGCCACAGGAGGGTTTAAAGCGCTTAAACTTGATCACGTCGAGTGCAATGCTGACTCTGAAGGGTAACTTGTGCATCTGTATGAAACGCCAAAGAACTGCGACAAAGTGTTATATCGAAGGCGCTGGGACTGAGGACGAGTTGTTGTTGCATGAGGCGCTGAAGTCTATTTTTGCATTAAATGAACTTCTCCATCTGATTCACATTTATTCTAGCCAGTTTGGAGAACCAGCGGTTGGTGTGTGTGTTTCTGTGGGACGACGTTTGAATGAAACCGAACTTTTGGTAGAGGGAAGCGGCGGCCGTCTGCGGTGAGCTGACGTCCACGACGAGACGGGAGAAGCCCCGGTCTTTGCAGAAATCCAGAGCCTTCCCCGTCAGCCGCGAACCCAGGTTTTTGCGTCGCCACGGATACACGACGACCATGTGCGACATCTCGGCGTAGCTCCCGTCGCCGGCTTCTTGGCCGAACTCCGCTCCCCCTCCCGAGACGCTCCCGTTGCAGTCGTCGAACCTCTCGCCGTCCTCCGCTCCCCTCTTCCCCGTCACCGCCACCATCCCCACCACCTTGGACTGGCCTTTGACGTCCGCCTCGGCCACCCACAAACCGTTATCGGGGTTCTCCAGGTAGTGCGCTTGAATGGCGGCCATGTCTGAGCTCAGCCTCCTCGCCACGTAGCCGTCGTAGATCTCATGGCAGCAGTAATAAATGAGGCCGGCCCACGCGCTGCCGAAGAGAAGCGCCTGGAAGTAGGAGCTGCCGCCCAGCACGTAGCCGGCCATGGAGATGCTCAGAGCGATGCCGATGTGGTCCGGGTGGCTCATGGCCTTGAAGAAAGCCGGGTAAACATGTTCGAGGATGCCGTCGCGAAAGAGAGAGCGGATCACGTGTTCGTCCGAGGGCTTAAACTCCCTGATGGAGAACTCGACTGTGTGGAAGAGGAAACAAAGAGGGCGGGAGGGAGAGAGAGAGGGGGAGCTCAGTGAGACTAATCTGCCCTGTTGTGCAACAAAACATTCCTCCTGGTTTCACAATACGGCTCAACATGCTCACATAACTTCTTGTACAAAAGAAAAACAATTACGAATGAATTCTACCTTTTTCCAGAACCTTTTAATTTGTAATTCAACTCTATTCCAATCAAACATTAAAAACTACATCGAGTGCATGACAATCAGAGGTGAATAACCCAATTAAAAGTAATGATTATCGCATTGTTCGAAGCTTTTAAGACTTCAAAGTGAGAGTCAATTTGAGTTTGATTCAACGAGCTCACATAAAAAGTGACAATAATGAAACTGTAAAGAAAGGTGAGAAACCCGGAGGCAACAAACAAAAGGTCTCGAGTTGAAATGTTTGATGTGTCATCCAGGCATGTTAGTAGTGCCATTCATTTACACCCTAGCTGTCTTATTAGTGCTGTTGTTTTTATAATCACATACTTGGAAATTTAAAAAAAATTATAAAAATGAGCATAATCAGAACATCAAACTTACAGTTATTTTTCTGGGCCATGCCGACTCTTTCCCCCCCTCGTGTTGTCGTTCACTCTGAAGGACTCAGTGCTGCTGCTCGCCTGCACTTAAGCTACAGATTGTGGTAATCAGCCATTCACACAAGGGATTGAAATTAGTCGGAGCATGCTCACCTAGGAGCAGCATGCAAACGCCCACACACACACTGAAAAAAAAAAAAAAAAAAACGTGTGGACTTTGAGGTGAAACATAAAACACTCTTATTGTTGTGAGAACTTTTACCAAAGATTGAGACGGCTGTGATTTAAGAAAGTGTCCTCGAGAGTTTAATTGAAATTAATCACAGTGTTGCTTTGATTACAAAACTTTTTTTTTTTCAAAACTTAATTAGCTTAGTCAACAGAGTAAGGAACTCCATCATTGTATTTCTCAAGGAGGATGAGCACAGATCGTGAATATATTAAAAGCAGAACGCTGAGCAGAATGTGAATTTGAGCACTTCAATAGATATTTTTCCAAGAATAAAACGTTCTTATTGAGGACGTTTTTTTTTTAGTGCTTCCCTTTTTGACTGTGATATCTGAAGAAACTGTTCTGGATCTCCACACTGTTTCCACCCGGGAATAAGAGGTGAGAGTAGAATTAATATTGTGGAGAGCCCCTCTGACACAAAAGTCTTCCACGGTGTCAGTGACAGTGTCTTTTGCAATAACCCAGTGGCTCTCTGACATGATTAAATTTCCTTGGCAGGTATCGTCCTTTACACCCGTTTCAATCAATAGAGCCGCCTCATGAATCTGTGAGCACTGGAAGGTCAAGAGACCTGGAACTTTTTGGAAACCGTTTCACATCCACCGTGTGAAATCTGATTTTTTTTTCCAGGCCTCTTGGCCTTTCAGTAACCGCGTTTGGCGAGTACAAATTAATTATTCAGTTTACATTTAGAAAGATTCAAAACCCTCTGTCAGAAATTCAATTATGGATGTGATTACAATGCTCTCATTTGTTGGACTCTTTTTCCTCTAATAGTCTCATTTTACTGTAAAGTCAAGGCACTGATTAAGAGGTCCAACAAAGCGACATTTCTGTAATACAGCCACAGATGTAATACCATTATTGAATCGTTTTATGCAATCTATGAATACAACATGAATCTGAATAGATCGCACTAGGACTAACTTTAAAGCTCCACCAGCACAAGGTTAAACACAAATATCAGAGTGCACATGCTTTATTGAGCTCACTAATAATATACAGAATGGAAATCAGACACTGTCGACGAGCTGATGAATCCATTAAAATCCTGATTTTACCAGCGAGGTGCCGAGAATTAGACAGTTACAGCAGAGCATGAAGTGACGGGCTTGGTTTAAGTTAGTTGGTGATTTAATGAAGAGCGATGCATATTTACTCTTCTATACATTTTTGTGTTTCTACGTATACAGGTGAAATTCTAGGTGCTTTCATTGGATGCATTACAGGAAAGTGTTTCAACAGTCACACACTATTGACCTGCTAAACGTTCCTCTGACGCTCCAACACTCTGTCTGGTGTCTCCTTTGTCATATCTGTCAATTTCATTTAAATATGTTTATGCAGCCTAGAAAAAAATACCATTTTGTTTGTGTTGAGCATGTGGGTGCAGACAGAGTGTGGTTCGTTCTGGGACGTTTGAACGCCCAGTCGAGGTCCCCACACAATGACAAAGTTCCAACATGGGCGCTCTGCTGACTTCATTCTTAAACTCAACTTTATATTATACGCTTTAAAATTTAAGACATGGAAGGTTAGATGGTTCATTTAAAGTTTCTTATGCTAATTGGTGGTTAGGGTTAGGGGTTAGGGGTTAGGGTTATTGGTAAGTCTATTTAAGCTACACAAAAATCAAGGCTGGACGGTGTAGTGGGCATTTGGCATTCACATGAAACGGCACATAAATCCAGCAGGATTAGCTCTGCTTCGGTGACAGCGGGATCAGAGGCAGTGTAAAGGTTTGTGAGGTTCAATGTAAGTGCACAGAGTCACATATCAGACCAGAACAGTTTAAATACAGTTTAGCTTGATACCCACCGTAGGACCAAATGTAAAAAGTTTAACATATGCTCAACCAACTTCACATCTTAATACTATGTCGATGTAATACAGCATTATAAAGTTATTCAAGGCATGTGCTCAGGATGTTTTCAGGTTATTAAGTTTCCAACTATCTGTCATTATTGCTCCCATTAGAACCAACTTCTGTTTGCCCATTTCTGTGTCAGTGTGCAAGAAGCCCAGGAGGCCTCGTCCCGGCAGCAGAAGATCCAGGCTCTCGAGTAGAAGGAGCTCCCCCAACCTTCAGCGAGGTGATCGGGCTCTACTACCACCTGACATCCCTGACGCCCAGCCTCCAACCACCGCCTGTCCTCATTCATGCACGGCCCGCTCCGACCTCCACCTCAGCGGCAAGGACGTGTGGACAAAAGGAACGCTAGGAATACAAAGGAGAAATCTGTTCTTTTGTAAAGCTCAAGATAAAACTTGTTATGAATTGGCGCTTTACAAATAATGATTGATTGTTGGGTCTCTAAATGGTCTAGACCTGCTCTTTTTGTTAAGTTTCTTAAGATAACATTTGTTATGTATTGGCGCTACACAAATTAATATTGCTTGACCCAATCTACCGCTGAGCCACAGCCGCCCAAAACATGGTAGAAATCTGTAAACTCAAAGGTAAAACTATCATGTCAGAAGTAGTTTTTTACATCATGATCATTTTGGTGAATTTCTTGCATAACAAAGTTGGCATTGGATAAAGTTTTTAAAAATCAAACTTTAAGTTCTGGCTGGTACTTGTAAATTAAAAGCACAAGCTGTAACATTAATCAAGCCACCTTGACTGTTTCATGGTATGAATTACCACACAAGTCTCCCAACACCGCTTGATAAAACAAGCCAAGGGTGCTTCAGATTTGATTGCACATTTGTGTTGCAACAAAAAAGTCACTCTAAGAAAAGAAAAGGCACAAGTTGCCGTGGAAACCAAACACTGCGGGCGAAACTCCAGCCTCCACTTCTGATTGGGACAATGAGAGCCTGGTGAAATACATTTTCATATTCATGGACATGCACTTCCTACAAGAACCTGTTCGGCATGCCTGTCACAGAGCCACGACATTAAGGGATTAAACCATTACATTATTGAGTTCTTCCCCCGGATCCAGCTGCTCGCCATCACTGAACCCACCTCACACAACTTTATTTCCAATCCACTGCGCCTCTGCAAAAACTCTGAACAGACTCCGGCTTTCTTTGTGGCTCACTGTGTCTCGTAAGTGCATACAGAGTGTGCAAAAGCATCCCCCCAGAGATTTCCATTTAGCTCCAGCCATCTTTTATTACTATAGTACCCATCTTTGCTCTTGAATGGAACATGTTGGGAAATGGTTCTGCATTTAGGAGGGGGTAATGTCAGAAAGCGTCCCTATCAAAGTAAACAGAGGTATTAAGTTGGACTTGGTATTTTCAACTATAAATTGCAACGAGAGCGGAGGCTTTTTGATAACAAGTATGTTTATGAAATCAAAACGGAGTCCCCCCCACAGTGTGTGCCAGTGATGATAATAACTAATCAGACCTATTTGTTGTTTTTGTACCAGGCTGTAAACATGTTTATTTATGCTGTGAAAACTGTTTTTTTTCCTGTTGTTTGTTTGCAGCTTGCTGTGTTCCTGGAGTGGACACTCTTGCACGAACTGCAGGATTTTGCACTTCCACATTGGCTTCATTTTTCAACATGGGAGGATGCTGATTGGGACCGATTTTTTTATGTATACGTTGTGTTTGAGGCATGTATATTGGCTTTAAATGTGCAACCTTGTGTAAATATGTGTTTTAAATGACAAATGTCTTCCTTTTTCATGACAATACAGTCGGTTATGTCCTTTTATATTCATACTCATGAGACTTAAAGGCTTTATATGTGATTTTTTGATCCAGCAGATGTCGCCCTTGAGCACCAGCATGAAACCAAAACAACTCGCGCTGCATTGTTGTGTTAGCATGCTAATGCTAGCGATCTTTATTATGCTCGTATCTTCACACTGCATGTAAATTTACCTGAAATGAGCGTGATCTAGAAACACAGTTAAGCAGTGAGTACAGTATGTTATTCTTCTTTTCTCTAGTCCCTCAATTAAACAACTTTTATACACGAGGGGAGGAGTCAGCCAGCCGTCCTGGCGATGTAAACAAACTGAAGATAGGACTCAGAAAACTCTGAAAACATCACAGACAGTGGGACTCGGGTGTTACACCCATTGTAGACAGTCATGACTCACAGAGTTATTTTCAGAGGATATACTTGATTTCTATTACATTTAAGTGTGAAAAATCACATATAAAGACTTTAAAGTAGCATTTAGGCAGATTTTGTGACCTTTTGACCTGCTATGCTCAAGGACAAAGAATTGGGAACAATTGTTTTAAAGTGCCTGAAAGTGATTTCTTGAAATGTATGTTAAATTTCTAATTACAGATCATGAAGTAATTGTTCTAAAAGCCCAGGGGTCATATTATGCTTTGGATATCTCGTCAAACTTTCTCAAATTAGTAGAGATAAGACTTCACGATGAAAGCCTGAAAATACAGCAAACTGTCGAGCAGAGGAAGAAGTGTCTCTTTCAAAGCTTATTTTATGATAATCTGATTTTACCTCAATCCAAGTCACGCTTCGCTCTCTGAAACTGCTCAGACACTTCACACATTGTAAGCAGTCAATAGCGATTGTCTCACCTCCATCTAAGAATCAGGTCATTTTGATTGTGGAAATAAAAAGATCTCAGACAGACATAAACCTTCCTTTATATGCAGCAGTCGACAGTCTTTTACATTTCGCTGAAATATAACGAAAAGTTGTCTAGACACATATTAGATTTGAGAATGGTGATGGTATCGGCTCTAAACCATACACAGATGAGAGATGGTCAGTGCTTGACATTAACACGTTTTCCTCTAATGCTCACAAACGTTCATAGTTTTATTTGCAATATATTTCATACT